CATTAAATGACCACTTCATTTGTTTTTGATTAAATCTGCATCCTTACAAAGTACAATAAGTCCTTGACAACTCCGTATTTTCTAGGAATAGGGCAAGTGCACTTTTTACTAGGCCAGTGTTTCTCAGCTGTGGCAATAGAAAGATATGTGAACTTCAACTCCCAGAATTCCACAGCCAGCATGTTTGGAATCCTGGGAGATGAAGTACACATATTTTGACATTTGCAGGATTGAGAAACACTGATCTAAACAATACAGACGTTTCCTATGAACACTGTGCAATGGGATTGTGTAAGCCTAGTTTCCTCCACAATATAACAATAGTTATTCTATAGAGCCAATTAGTATCTTTTCTCCATCCCATTTGTGTTGATTGTACAAGGACATTAAGAAGAGTAAAATGTTACATTTTATGATACTGTAGCCTGGATGAAAAGAAAGGTTTATGGTTAAATCTTAAAGGAACGAAGCTCCAAACATTTATTCACATCTCTGCAAAAAAGAAATGTTTTTTCCCCAGGGTACCAAGAGATGAGCAATTACTTGTGCTCACCAAAATGACAGTTTACACAAAGAGTTCTCTGCCTATTCCTTGAAACATTAACCTCTACAATACAGTGCAAGTTACAATCAACTCATTTTTTACTTCCTCTGTATAGAATAAAGCAGTTGGTTCCTCATGAGGTGTCTAGGGAAGGAAGAACTTGGATAGCATATAATCTAAGTAAAAGTCAGCAGTAAGTATATGAACGGAAAAAGCAAAGCAGGCAAAGTATTATTTTGCCCATATTAATTATACATTGTGCATTTTGTACATTATACACATTGTATAGAAAGTATTATGTATGTTAAGTGCTGATTACAAATTTCACTTAGGATGTAACAACTGGAATTCTTCCCCACATTTTTAATTTAATGCCTTACCAACAAAACCCCAGACAACACAGCTTAAATGAAGAGCCAGTAAACTTTACTTCCTTAACTTTTTACCTTCAACATTAGAGAGAGTTCCAATCTTGCAGGAAAAAGGTCCTGACCTTGGGAAGCAAATCAGAAATATGTTGCACATTGTATATTTCATGTTCTGACCCATAAGGATGTTTCTGATTTGGTCTTATATTGCATCCTGGAATTGGCTAGCTTGCTCTGCCAAACTCCACAGAAGATATTGAATGCTGTTTTTTGGAGGTTGGAACTAATTATAGTTAGCTGGAAAGGCCTCACATTACTCACATTTTTCAAAAAAAAAAAAAAATAGGAGTGTGATTTAACAAAAACAGAACCTATTTGGTAAATAGATTGACTCTATTTTGCCTTATTCATCCATTTCAGTTTCTTGGATTTTTGTTTATGAAGTTATATACTTTGCTGGTTATTTAATCTTACATGTTTAAAACCACTTTTGTGGTTTTAAGAAGTGTTTTACTTCTTCTTTTTAAGGAAAAACAAGATTTTAAAAATAGCATAATGAAACACACAACAAAGGGTAAATTGACCCACATGACCGAGTCTTAAAACCTTTCAATATTTCTGCTAGAAACTAGGGATGGATGAAAGATTTCTCAGATCAGGACATTTCTGATACTAGGCTTGAAAGGAAACCACTTTTAAGGTTCACTGTTTAAAATGTCATTTAGTTATTCCATAATTTACACATATATACACATACACAATATTAAGTACATGTGTCTTCAGTGGCTTCTGTGTCATGGCTCATTGATCTTTTGTTCTTCTTTTTTTTTTTATTGAAATTTTTTTAAAATTTAACAAAAACAAAGCAACCCTTCCCCAAACCTCCCCAACCCTCCCATTCCCTCCCCCGACCTTCCCAGAGCTGAATATAGGCTTAGTTGAAATTTCTTCAAAAAATCTTAAAAAAAGATATAAACCATGAATAAATCTAAATACATGATCTTTTGTTCTTCTTAACGATAATGAGAGCAAAGAGAGAAATGGGAACGAAGGCATGACCTTACTGCATCTTAATGCAAGACACATCAAAAAGTAGGTAGGTCATGATCCTGAAAAATAAAAACTGTAATAGTAAAAAGTAAAAAACAGAATGAGTGTCCCTGGAAAGATTAAAAAAGAACAAGGCATTATGAGCAGAAGAGTGATTTGTTTAATGTTTGCTATTTCCAGCTGATAATTTTAATACATAATAAATTTCAAGAAATATGAATTGTCAGGGGTCCCAGACATTAGGACCGGTTAGATACTTGGGGAATTTTGACATGAGTGTTTTAACAATATTGTTGTTGTGGAGGATATAACGAAACACAAAGCTCCAGTGAACAAAAATGCTTCTTCCCATTCTCAAAAGTCTCATCAAAATGCTTTTTACAAGCCTGCATACTTCCAGCATTAATACTGGAATGCGGCAGCCTATATTTTTATTTTCTAGCAAAGTTTTAGGGCCCAGCAATGTTCTTGAAATAAAAGTGATGACACACAGTGGATATTTTGCTTCTCACTTCTTAAAAGCATTTTTAAAATACACATCAGATCAGTGCCTTGTAAATCTTAGCTTAGGGTCTTGGGGCAAATGGCTCATCCCAAATTTCACAATATATGCACACTCAACTTTGCACACAAGCAGAAACTCAACTTTGTGTGTGTTTTCTAGCCTTCACTTGCTTCTTTTAGTCTATTTGTTTTACCAACCTGTGATATTCCTTATTTACCCTATTATCTGTCTGTCTGTCTGTCTGTCTGTCTGTCTGTCTATCTAATCTCATCTCTATCTTGACTGGCCAAGAGTTACCCTGTGCTAAGATTGGTGACCAATAATTTAATAAACTTGCCAATTTCAGATATCATGGCAACCCTAACCATAGATGCATCACAGTTACTCCTTCAGCACAAATTACAGCATATTGCACTTATTTCTATGCCTTTATTTCCCAGTTGCTCAGCTCTTAGTTTTGTAAATTTACTCACCTCTGCTACCTAAATCAGTCCTTTAAGGCAGAACAATAGCCTTAACTTTGGTTATAAATTCAGACATATTACAAACTGCAAACTTACTTTAAAATAATTTTAAAGTTCTGATGTTTCATCTGTGTTTGACAAATTATCTCTCTCTTCACCCTCAATCATACACATTTATAAGAAACTTTAAGAGGTACGTGAGTAACTCTATATTCTATACTTTGCTAAGCATTATCAAACAGAGATTTAAAAAAATGAATTAATTAGTGTATTTGCCAATATAGTTTCACCATCCATAAAGAATCATAAAGAATATGCCTAAGGAAATTGGTAATTTACTGTGTTTTCTAAAACTTTTGTTTTTGCAAATTTCTGTTAAGCATAAATGTAACGGGTGCATATATGTGATTTTGTACAAAATGCTGAAATCCAAGCTTTCAACATAATGAAAACTTCATAGGATTACAAAAAATTAATCTCTTTATTAACCAAAAGTAAACATTAAAATCAAAAGATTCACAAATCTATTTATTACACACAGTTTATGTTCAGTCCTGGCTCTTCCAGGGTGCTGCTGCCAATTCCTATTTTCTTCTGCTTATATTCATAGTTGCTGTCTTACATTTTTAAAAACAATTTGTATTTGATTTTGAATTCTGGATCTTTCCAATTTTTTTATTGAATACATATTTTACAATTTAGTAGTGACTAGGTAAGAATCTAGATTCATTTCGAGAAAAGCAACATAGAGCCTGCACATTTTCTAATAAAACAAATTGAGTTCTAGGACTAGCTTTAAAGCAAGTAAGAATTTTAGTAAGCATAGTATAAAAATCCACAAATCAAAGAAAAACTTGCAATGGAACAGCCAACATTTGGATAAATTATTCTCTTTCACAGATAAGGCACCTTTGCTCTAAAACAAGGAATACCCCAGCAAGGGCAAATAAGCTAAAAACTCTGAACATTTTCTTTCTTTCCCTCAAATCCATCCATGAACATCCATCAAGGTGGAGACTACAAATGCATCTTTCATTTTATAGTGATTTTTCTTAAATTTAGACATATTTCAGTAATTGAAATTGGAAATTAGAAGTTATACTCAACTACCATTCTGGAAAGATGGTTTAACCCTGCATTTAAAAAGTTGATTAAGAAAATGGAAATCTAAGCACGCCATTGTTCAGGATGGTTAATACTGATTTATCACATTAGTTTGTTTAACAGGTAAATAAGACAATGTGCGTGAAGCATGCTGAATATTTTAAAACTATGGAATCGGTAAGTTTTTTTGTCAGCTCTGGGAGCCTGGCATTCTTGTCTTGCCAGTAATAAGAAAGTCAAGGATAAATATTTTAATATGTTTCTTCAACAAAATTAACTTAACCTCAATGAAATAAATACTCACATTTATAGGTGAATGCAAAATAGCTGGACAGCAAAACTTGGAACAAACTTTGTGTTCTCTAGAAATTCCATTACTAGGAACAGTTAATGTTTGTTCTCTGTGCCATTTTATTTTAATTCAACTGCAGCTTCTTTCCTGATCACCCTTTATATACTCTGTCATAAAAAGAGCCTTTCACACTGTACATAAAAATATTTTCTGTAGGAGAAAAGTTACCAAAAATAATGCCAAATTGTATGCACATTTTTTTTTTAAATATAAGTGGAATTTGATCTGCTTTTGGATATTGCCTGTTCTAATATGGCTGTATTATTTAGTAATGAAAAGGAGAAGGAGGAATAGGCAACAGAGTATCAATAGCAAAATATTTTAAGAATGCAGTACAAATGAAATAAAGCAACTTGAACTTAACCGATATCAAGGATCAAAAGAAAAGCGACCTTACATGTTACACAATACAGACGCCAATGACCTTGAAACCCGTGCCTTCCCTTTTCCCCTTCTGTCTCTCTCAGAACGTATTTTGCTACTGGCGGAAGATGCTCTCAAGCAAAACACTGAAAAATTGGTATCATTTCCTAGCCGGTAAGTGGAGCACTGATTCTAAATATTTTATGATTTGGTTTCACAAGTTCTTTTTCTCTCTTCTCCTTCCTTGTAGGTTTGATTGTTGCAACACTGGCAATATGCTGGCTACCGAATCAAGTTCGAAGGATCATGATGGCTGCCAGGCCCAAGCAAGACTGGACAGTCTCTTATTTCAGGGCATATATTATTCTCCTCCCCATAGCAGACATCTTCTTTTACCTTAGCTCTGTGGTGAATCCACTCCTGTACAACATTTCCTCCCAACATTTCCGGAAGGTCTTTCTTCAAGTCCTCCGATGTCGCCTGTCCATAGAGCATGCCAACAAAAAGAAGTACTTGGCAACCAGTGTAAACTCTGCAGCCAATATCAATCGTTCCAAACGTCCATTGATCTTCACATCATCCAGGCGAAAGTCTTCCACCAAAGCAGCACAGAAGGTTTCCTCAAATATTCTTCAGGATGAGGCTGAAATTGACTCCAGTTTACCAAAACAGAGTCCCGAGTCATTGGAGCTCAGTGTGAGAACAATGCCTCTGGAAACCAGCATAGATCCAAGTCTTGTTAACCAGAATGGCATTTGTGAACATGAGTAGTAAATACTCATAAAAAAAGTTATAGAATACACAATAGGCTAAAAGAAGCAGTAAAGAAAAACAAAAGAAAGATTTTACAGCCAACAACCTGTACCCTCCAAGTTCAAGTGCTAATTTCAACAGACTACTTTTCCAATAACATGAATGATAGTGCTTTTGTATGGACGAACTGTTGATTTATTTTTCTTTGTTTCATTTTGTTTTAAAGTGCACACTGGAAAAAAAATCAGACAACTAGATCTATTCTGTAAGTAATGAAGTTGTTGAGACGTTTTTTCAGACAAAACTCTTCTTTTGGGAAAGCGAACAACAACATCACAATGGAAACCAGCTGTGCCTTTGAGAGAAGTGACACGGCAAGAATGATGGCAACAAAGGGAATCTTCCCTTAGAGTTTAGCAATGTGCGGGTGATAGAAACGGCAAGCTGGACAGCAGCATGGTTGTTAATACTCCTGCCCTAGGCACGGTGCCAGCGTTTCCTCGCTTCTTTGGCCTGGGCCCATTACAAAGTGGAGTGTTGCAGCAGCTTATACAAACAGAGTTTATCTTCCCTGGAGTACAGAAAGTCTGGTATCCGGCAGAGGTCATGAGACAAGCTGCAGAGGAGGCACAGGACTTGCGATACAGGATCCCTGCGACACAGAACAAGAACTGATTTAGTCAAATATGAACAAATATACTCTCCACGGCCTATTAGCTCTTCTTATATTTGAAGGACTGTCAAGAATTCACATGGTGACTATGAATGCCAGTGCATGTCAGGACATTTAGCTCATTATTACTTATTATGTTTTAATAGGAAAAAACTACAGCTTAAATAAAACGGCATTACTCTTAAAACCTGCCACCCCCCTCCAGCCCCTATAAAGCCTACAAGTGGGAAGGGGGAAATGTGTCACAAATTGTAAGTGCTGCACTTAAAATCTTTAAAGGTTTAAGATATTAAAATTGAAAATTTGATACACTCGTCAAAGTATTGTGTCAGTATTCAAGAGAATCCATGGTTTGTTATACATTTTAGATGTTCTTCAGTATTTCTGGAAAAAAAAAAAGCTGTGAAAAGCTCACGGGGGAACATAGCAGAATGTTCTGCACTGCATGAAAGATCAGAAAAATCTCTTTCTTGTAACTAGGCTATTGCCCTATGAAACTGGGTACACTATTATTAAAGGTATATGTGAAATGTTTGTTTCAAAAGTTCTGGTGGTTATAAAACAAACTCTTCTTTAATACATAGAAACATACACAAAGTGAACTGCTTATATTCTGCACCCGGCTGTCATATGACCTCAAAATCTCTTCTTTCATATGATCTGATAGAAATTCAGCTTTGGGCTGGATACATAAATAATACGGCTATCAAACAGTAACACTGTATGCTTCAGTTTCTCAGACAATTTGCTTTGGGGATTTCTGGAAGTAACCTTCATAGTTAATTTAAAACAATTCTTTCCTTTTAGGTTAAACTTGCACTGATCGTGCTCTCTGTATTGGGGAGAGAAGTAAACATGGATGAAACATAAAAAAAATGCATTTGTTACATTCAGGGAATTAAATATTTTCAAAAATATATGTTTCAGCAAAAATGTATAGAACATTAGCTTGCGCTGACACTCGTTTGTCACTGATACACTTTTGGTAATATGTAAGAATTTCATTGTCTCCTATTTAATCCACGATTCACTGCTGATCAGCAAATAAGTACCATTTTAGAGCTAGAAAAACAAAAAAATGTTTTATCTGACATGACAGTACATTTGATTAAAAAAATTACTGGGAATATCAGTTATGGCACTTATATGCAAATACAGTATTTGCAATATTGGTAATTAGTAATTTACAATCTAAGTCAGTTAATCTTTAATGTATTGCATTCTCCAGCCGCACCCTTGAATGGGCCAGTCCAATTGTTAAGTTGATTCAGTTGACCCTCTTCTGGTAGAAAACAGATAGACCACTAAATTTTGCACATAAAAATGGTTCCTTCTCTAACTGAAGTTCTTGGAATGGGCATCTGTGAATTCATACATATGGGGTATGTTCCTATTCAAGACCTGCTGAAAATATTCTACAGCTTAAGGAATTTCTTGATGGGAAACCCACCCCTCATACATAACCCATTTGACTGGACGTGGCTCCCACTGAATCCCTTCATTTCCAGAGACTGATACAACGACTCCAGAGAAATACTGAGGTCAGCTAGCTCCTTGTGGGGTTAGGAGAGCAGGTTGTGCATGATCACTCAAGTTACAGATAAGCAAACCATTTTTGTACTTCTAAGATAACTAAAGGGCTCTTCTTCCATTTTTCAGAAAACAAAAACCCACGCAACGACTCTGGATAAAAACAAAAATCTTATCCAGAGGAGTCACAGATTTGGAGAGGGCATATTTGCTTAGCTGGCTTGTAATGAAAGATTGGCCATTGCAGCTCTCTGGGGGAAAAACCCTGAGGAGAAAGACTCAGCCGAGTCCATTGAGAAGGGCAAAGAGAAAGAGCGTGCTCTTTGAACACTGAAGGAAAGATGTGGCTTCACTCTCAGGGCAGAAGAGTTGGGAAATGGAAGGCATTTTCATTCCTAAATAGAGTGCAGAGACAGGCCTTCAGAATTCTAAAAAAACAGATTTCCAGTGTTAAGTTAAAAACCTTGCTCCCTTGTCTGCTGAGCTAAAATAACTGAATTATGAAGGCATGTGTCAGAAGATATTTATTTCTCATTTATTAATTTGGTTCCTAAATAAGAAATAAATAAATCTTTTCTGAAGGTTGCAAAGTGATTTAAGGTGGCATGCAAAGTGGCTTTAAAACATCAGCAAAACAGCAAAACAAATCAAAATGATAAAACAGTATCAAAAGGTACAGGCAAATCCTTCATCTGCATAATACTCCACCAGAAAACACCCCAGCAAAAAGCCCGCCAGAAGAGCCAGGTTTTGATGGCCTTCCAAAATGAGAGCTGGGCCAGAAACAGGCATACCTCAGGTTTTATGCTGTATTTAGAAGGCAGGGATTGATAGAAAAAAAAGTGACTCACGAGATGACGTTTTATACATGGGATCCAGCATGCCGACCATGTTTGAACTTGTAGAATGGGCAGTAACAATTAAGTACAGAGGTTGCAATGCAGGTGGTCCTCAACTTATGGCCACAATTGAGCCCAAAGTTTCTGTTGCTAAGTGAAACGTTAAGTGAATTTCGACCCATTTTACAATCTTTCTTGCCACAGTTGTTAAGTGAATCACTGCAGTTGTTAAGTTAGTAACACAGTTGTTAAGTGAATGTGGCTTTCCCATTGACTTTGCTTGTCAGAAAGTCGTAAAAGGGGATCACATAAACCCTGGGACACATTAATGGTCATAAATATGAACTAGTTACCAAGTATCTGAATTTTGATCATGTAACCCTGGAGATGCTGCAACGGTCGTTAAGTGTGAAAAACAGTCATAAGTCACTTTTTTCGGTACTAACTTCGAATGGTCACTAAATTAACTGTTGTTAAGTCAAGGACATTCTGCATATGAAGCTATGAAGGATTTACAGATTTCTTGACTGCGCCTGGAAGCCTACAGGGAACCCAGTGTAGCATGAGAAAAACAAAAAAAAAGTTTTCACAGAGGTATAGACCTTCAAAACCATTTTATAAAATCATAAAATAATAAAAATACCATCCACTGGTGAATAGAAGTAATATTGTAGTATAGTATTGAAGAGGACTTGAAACATTGTCCTCTTGAACAGTCTGCTAAATCTGCCTACTCAGCTGAGAAGGATACTTTTGTGGAATAAACCCTTTCTGAAGAAAAGCGTATCTAGTTTATGACCTGAGTGTCAGGTGACAGAATAGTTATATGGATGGAAGAGACGGGGCGTTGTCTTACCTGAACGCCTTTTCTCAGCAGGATGATGTAGAGTCCAATGGTTGGATTCTATGACAGCCTTCCTGCCCGGCAGACTGGGTAAAAACTTTGGCCACACCCTTCCCTTGGGCGTGATCCCAGTTTTGACTTAGGCGAGAAGGGGCGTTGTCTTACCTGAATGCCTTTTCTCAGCATGAGGAATGTAGACTCCACGCATGGGTTGATTTAGTCTTCTAGCCCAATCAGACCAAACAATCAAAGTTGCCACGCCTCTGCAGGGTCTGACCATGCCCCAGTTTTCGAAAGGGCGAAGCGAATGATTGTGTGACGAGATGGCTCCGAACTGCTGACACTAACCTAGCTGCTAGTAATAATCAGGGAGGGGGTGGAGTCTACATTCCTCATGCTGAGAAAAGGCGTTCAGGTAAGACAACGCCCCTTCTCCAGCATGTAGAGGAATGTAGACTCCACGCATGGGACATACCAAAGCCCCTATGATCCCACGGGTGGGAAGCAGGTTGGTTAAGTGTCGGTGCTGAAATGGACCACTTGTTGTAAAACCCGACGGCCAAACGCAGCCTCCGCGGAAGCAAACTTGTCGAGTTTGTAGTGGTGAATGAATGGTGAAGGGTACGACCACGTAGCCACCTTACAGATGTCCTCTATGGACGCCTACGAGTAGAGTGCGCTGTCAGGCAGCTTGGGACAGGTAAAGAGGAAGCCTGGTAAGATTGAGCGATACAGGCCTTGATCCACCTGGCTATAGTAGAGGAGGAAACCTTCTGTCCCTTGGAAGTTGAGTGGAAAGAGACAAACAATGCCTCCGATTTGCGAAAGGAAGCTGTCCTCTTAATGTAATGACGTAATACCCTACGTACATCTAGGTAATGCCACTGCTTTTCTAGTGTGTGAGAAGGATTGGGACAAAAGTTTGGTAGTACAATGTCCTGAGCCCGGTGAAACAGGGTATTCACCTTGGGAATGAATGAGGGATCTAACCTCAGCACCACTCTGTCCTGATAGAAGGTACACAGGTCTTCCCTAACTGAAAGAGCAGCCAGCTCTGACACGCGTCTCGCCGACGTGATGGCTACTAGAAAAGCCACCTTGTGGGACAAAATGTGAAAAGGACAAGACCTTATAGGTTCAAAGGGAGACCTAGTGAGTGCCTGCAGAACACGAGGTAGTTCCCAAGATGGATACCTGTGTACTACCGGAGGTCTGGTGTTGGAGACTCCTTTCATAAAGGATCGGATCCTGGGATGATGGGACAATGGAGTGGCGTTGGGACAGGTGAACACCGTGGAAAGAGCAGCCACCTGTCTACACAAGGTGTTGGGCGCTAAGCCTTTATCCACTCCATCCATGAGGTATTCAAGAATCACTGGAATAGTGACAGAAGAGATAGACAAACCCTTACAGGTACACCAGTCACAGAAGTTCTTCCAAGTGGCATCATAGATTCGGTTCGTCGCCGGCCGTCTGGAAGCTTGGATCATAGCTATCACCCTTGAAGAGTAAGATCCGCACATCAGGAATTGGCACTCAGATGCCAGACGGCTAGTTGTAGCCACTGTGGGTTCGGATGGCATATGGCCCCGTGTTAGAATTATCCTCCCTGGAGGGATTTGCCAAGGGGGGGCTATGGCGAGGTTCACGAGATCCGCGAACCATGGACGCCTTGGCCAATACGTGGCCACAAGGATTAGCTCCGCCTGTTCCTGTAACAGCTTCCTGATGACAGCCGGGATCAAGGGAAGGGGTGGAAATGCATA